GGAAAAAAAAAAAAAAAAAAACGAAAACAAAAAAAAACAGCCCCATGGTTGGGCCACGGCCGAGATGTCTTGGCCACACCCCAGACTGGCCACGGCCGAGATGTCTCGGCCACACCCCAGATTGGCCACGGCCGAGATGTCTCGGCCACAGCCCAGATTCGCAGGTACTACCCTTCACAGGCAAACACGAAGTCTCAAGAGTAGCCTACTCCGAAGAAGTGGGGGGGCCTCGGGGCAGGGATGGAGGCCAAAAAMARAAAAAARAAAAGAAGAAATAAAAAAGTAAAGAAACGAGGAACTTCGAACTTGGAATCGGCCTACGTCAGGAAGGCCCTCACCTCACCAGTGCTTTGAGGAATGTATCTGGCCAGGAAGTGAGGAACATGAAACAGGACACAAGATCCTTGTAGCGCCCTGCCAGCCAGGCAGGGCGTATTCCAGGCGAGGCAGCTAACTGCCTGGCTTCATTCAGTTCCGGAGACCATTAGACACCGCCAAGTGGGGTTGGGGGGGGTTGGGGGAGGTGCAGTGACTGGCCATTGCTCGGCGCTAGCACCGCCGATTTCCCCCATCGGCAATGCCTGCCCACCCCTCGTCACCGTGATGACGGACTGGTACAGCCTTGACCTCGCACCACAGCTGTGGTGCCAACCTACCCTGTGGGCTGGGGAGGGATCCGGGTTGGTTGGTGTTCCCCCATACTATATATAGAATAGTCAGAGGATGAGATAGATGCCTACTATCAAGAAAAATGAGATCGATGAGAGAAGAATATAGCTTACCTTTAAAAAAAAAAAAAAAAAACACTGTAGCATCCTGTATAGGACCGCAATCGCAGCATAAGGGATGTTTTTTTTTTTTTTTTTTTTTTTAATCTGCTTTTCGTTGATAGACGAGGGCCCTGACTGAACTGCGCAGTCCGAGTTTCAACTGGAATAGAAACTCGGGCCCTGACTAAACTGCTAAATCGCAGTTTCAAATGCAATTACAAACTGCTTTCGTGACTGCGCCGTAGTTACCCCAAAATACAAATAGGTATTATATAATTACTGTGACGCGCGTCCGGAGGGCACGTGCGGAGATGGTGAGAGAGAGAGAGAGAGAGAGAGAGAGAGAGAGAGAG